AACACCATAACGGTAGCTAGCCCCGTCGGATCGTGTATTTTCTCGATGGGAGTCGTCGGGTATATCTATGACTCGGAGGCATCAGAGTCGGGTTGCAAAGGGAGTCATTGCTTTATGTTATCGTTCCTTATCATGGCATCAGCCACCTTACTGGGATCTCTTGCTGCTTTAGCCTTGTTTTACCGTGCCAAAAGGTTTTATAGTCAGGTTATACTCGGAAGGCTGCTGCATTCCTTGTGATCTGGTTGTGAATTGTGGCATGTTTTTGGATCAGTTTAATGTCCCATGTTATGTAAATCAAGTAGTTGGAGCTATTGAAATTAGGAATGAACATGAATTCAGATCGGACAAGATTCGATTCAATCTGATTCTTGAATTCAGGTTGGAATTTTTAGATTATAAGGTCATGTCGTGAAAAAATTGATTATATTTAACTCGAGATAATAATATAATTATGTTATGATGACAGAGAAGTTAGGGTTTTATAGTAGTGATTTGGGGGAAATTTCGAAGAGAAGATTGGGAGGCAACAACAGAATTTGGGGGGAGAATCGAATGAAATTAGGGATTAAAAAGGGGCTAGGGATTGACATTCTATCTGAAGAATTGGGAATCGAAGTGAAGAGTAAGGGATACGGCTGAGGGTATATGAAGGGTGTGTTAGTGGGTTTATTATGAGAACCCAATTTTAAATTACTGATGGGCTTATATGTTGGGCTTGAGTCTGTTAGAACAATATTAAGAGAGAAATTTGAATGGTGAGTCAGCATTAGGCAGTTATTTTGTTAGATATGTTGTTTTGACAACTGGTACTTGTATATATATAATTTATACCAATCCTTTAAGGATTATCTTATGAATGAAAACACATTTTCTGTACCTAAGTCTCTCTATTTCTGAAATCCCTAAATTTCTTCTACATTCTCATCCTAAATCATAACAAATTGGTAATCAGAGCAGAGTTAAGTGATCCAAAAATATTATTTCACGCTGGGAAAGACAAGGAAGATGCAGAAAACTGGAACCAGTGAGGTACCAGAACAGACTATGGAGGTGAAAGAGGAGTCTTTACTATCGTGGTGGACTGAGCAGAAAGCTGAGTTGGAAGGAATGATACAAACCTTAGAAGAAGGAATGACTGAAAACAGAGGGTGTTTGCAGAGGATCCTACAGCTGGTTAATCAAGCAGCTGAGGAGAAAGATTCACCTCAGTCAGTGAAGAATAAACCAACATCAGTTGAAAAATAGAACAAAAATAGAGATAAACAACCATGCTTGATTACGGTTCTTAGTGAGCATGAGAAGTATACTTTTCAACCTAATGAACCAGAGATATTAGCTTCTAAACCTATGGGGTTTACTGGTCATCAAACTGTTAATCCAAAGTTGCAAGAAGAAAATCCTATGGGTAGTTCTAGTGACATTAAGGGGGGAGGAGATGAACATGTGGACACTAGAAACTATTTTAAAAATCCTTTTGGGAACACAAGTTATGTGTTACCTAGACCAAAATTGGAGCTACCAATGTTTGATGGTAACAATCATAGGGGTTGGATTAGGAAATGTTAGAAATTTTTTAATTTGTTTGGAATACCAGAAGAGCAGAAACTGGAAATAGTTGCTATGTATTTAGCTGGGAAGGCTGAAACCTGGTTTGATGGTTACATTATACACAAGTATAGGGTTACTTGGCAAAAATTTGAGGCTGATTTATGTCACAGATTTTGTGACAGAAATTATTCTGATATTATTGAAGAATTCAATAAGCTAATACAAAAAGGGAGTGTGGAAGAGTATTAAGAAAGGTTTGAGGAGTTAAGACCATATCTGTTATAACAAAATATGCATTTGGGGGAGGAGTATTTTGTTTCCAGCTTTATTAGTGGTCTTAAGGAGGAATTAAAACATAAGGTGAAAGTGTTAGAGCCCAAGAATTTATTTGAAGCTTCTAGGCAAGCTAAGTTATATGAATTGGCTAATGAGATTGAAAAAAAGAAGTATAAATCTCCTACAAATTTTTTTCTTACACTCCTTCAAATAATCAACATGGCAGTAGAGTTAAGACTTTTTTGCCTAAGTATGTTCCTCCTAATACAAACACAAAGCAGAGTCTGTTGGACTATAAAATAACCCACAATTTATGTTTCAAATGTGGGGAGAAATTTGTTCCTGGGCACCAGTGTAAAAGCAGACAACTGAATTGTATGGAGGAAGAGGAGCCTACTGAATCTGCTGAACATGATTTAACAGAAGGAAAGAATGGATAGGTGGAAGAACAAACTAAAGAAGCCCTGGAAATTTCTATCAATGTTATTACAGGGAATGTGGGACATACTACCTTGAGGATTCAAGGTTTTATCAAAGGAAAACCTATTAATGTGCTAATTGATAGTGGCAGCACCCATAGTTTTGTAACTCCTAAATGGGCCAAGGAAGGGGTTGGTTCATACCCAACCATTAGTTATTACAATAACTAATGGGGAGAAGCTGTTCAGTACTGCTAGAAGAAATAAAGTGAGTTGGAAGATGCAGGGCAATGATTTCATAGTATTATCTCTGGAAGATAGTGACATGGTATTGGGGGTAGATTGGATGGAAGAATTCAGCCCTATAATGATGGATTTTAAAACTAAGACCATCAGTTTTGAGAAGGATTGAGAAACTGTAGTTATAAAAGGGTATCAAAAGCTGCCATTAATCAGATCCATCACAGGTGAGAAATTCCAGAAGTTAGCAGAAAAAGACACTGAATTGAGTGGGGAGATTTATTTGCTAAGTGCTGAAGTAGAAGACAGTGTAATTCCTCTACCATTATAAGACCTACCAGAAGAGTTTAAAGAAGTTTTTGAAAAACCAAGGGGAATGCCTCCTAGTAGGAAATATGATCATGCAATTGTCCTTAAACAGGGAACACAACCAGTAAATCTTAGACCTTATAGATTTGCTCATCTTCATAAGGTTGAAGTTGAGAAACAAATTACTGAAATGTTGTCCTCTTCTATTATTCAGGTGAGTAAAAGTCTTTTTACTTCTCCATGTTTACTTATTAAAAAGAAAGATGAAACTTGGAGATTTTGTGTGGATTATAGGAAACTTAATTCTGCTACAGTTAAAAATAAGTTTCCTATTCCTATAGTAGAGGATTTGTTAGATGAATTGAATGGGATGCTTTCTTTTCAAAAATTGATTTGAGGTATGGATATTGGCAAATTAGAATCAAGGATAAAGATATTTACAAAACTGCTTTTATGACTCATCAAGGAACTATGAATTTAAAGTAATGCCTTTTGGTCTTACTAATGCTCTAGCTACTTTTCAAGCTTTGATGAATGATTTGTTTAGAGCATACTTAAGGAAATTTGTTCTTGTATTTTTTGATATATATTAGTTTACAGTCCTAGCTTGACAGAGCATAAACAACACCTAAGAACTGTGTTGGAGGTTCTGTTGAAAACAAGTTATATGCTAAAAGGAGTAAGTGCTTCTTTGGACAACAACAAGTGGAATATCTAGGGCACTTAATATCAGCTGATGGGGTGGCAACAGATCCTTCTAAAATTAAAGCCATGCAACAGTGGCCTTTGCCTAAGAATCTGAAAGCTTTAAGATAATTTTTTGGTTTAACTAGATACTACAGAAAATTTATAAGAGGATATGGGGAACTGAGTAAGCCCTTAACCAATATGTTGAAAAAGGATGGGTTTTATTGGTCTCAAGAAGCTATATCAGCTTTTGAAAAGCTAAAGGAAGTTATGTGTAATGCTCCAGTTTTGGCTTTGCCTAATTTTGAGCAGATTTTTTTTGGAAACTGATGCTAGTTCCAAAGGGATTGGAGCTGTTCTTTCTCAAGAAGGAGACCTATAGCCTATTTGAGTAAAGTTTTGGGTCCTAAGCATGCATATCTTTCAATCTATGAGAAGGAGTATTTGGCCATTTTGATGACAGTTTCTCATTGGAGGCATTATTTGGAGAGTGGTTCTTTTGTCATTAAAACAGATCATGAGCCCTTAAAACATTTACTTGAACATAAGTTAACTACAACTATACAGAAGAAAGACTTACAAAGTTATTGGGGTTGGATTATACTATTCAGTACAAGAATGGTAAGTCTAACAAAGCTGCAGATGCACTCTCTAAACAACAAATGGATTCTGGTGAATTTGTTCAAATGGGAGTTACTGTTATAACACCTACTTGGGTACATGATATTGAAAAGAGTTATAAAGAAGATGCTATAGCCCAAGTAAAAATACCTATTTGGTTATTAAGCCATACCAACTACAGGACTGGAAATTACTTAAAGGAGTCTTGTATTTCAAAAATACGATTTATGTGGGCAGCAAAGGGGACCTTAGGCAGAATATAATTGTGGCTTTGCATGATTCACCACAAGGAGGTCACTCAAGTATTCAAGCTACTTATCAGAAAATTAAGTCTTATTTTTTCTGGCCAAGAATGAAAGTTTTAATTCAGGAGCATATACAACAGTGTGATGTGTGTCAGAGGACTAAAACATAACATATTTCTAAGCCAGGCTTGTTACAGCTTATTCCAGCTCCAAACAATGTTTGGGAAGTGATTACAATGGACTTCATTGAAGGTTTTCCATCTTCAACAAAGTATAATTGCATTTTGGTGGTGATTGATAAATTCGCTAAGTATTCTCATTTTATGCCACTATCTCATCCCTATACAGTAGTGGAAGTTGCTAGGGTTTATATTGATCAAGTTTATAAGTTACATGGTCCTCCTAAAGTGGCTATTTCTGATAGGAACAAGTCTTTTACTAGTCTGTTTTGGCAGGAATTAATGAAGCAATTGAGTTCAACTACATTATTTAGTACTGCCTATAATCTTGAGACAGATGGCCAGACAAGAGATTGAATCAATGTTTAGAACAATATTTGAGGTGTATGTGTTTCTTGAAACCTAAGACTTGGTCGAAATTGTTAGCTCAGGCTGAGTGGTGGTACAATACTAACTACTACTCTACTCTACAGATGACACAATTTGAAGCTTTATATGGGTATAAAGCTCCTAATATGACATGGACAACAGACTCTAGGGTGAAAGCAGTACAGGATGTCATGCAACACAGGGAACAATTAAATTCTTTATTAAGAGAGCAACTACTTAAAGCTACCAATAGAATAAAACAGATGAGTGACAAACAGATGAGTGACAAACATAGAGCATATAGGGAATTTCAAATCGGAGATGAAGTTTACCTGAAGCTCCAGCCATACAAACAAACATCGTTGGCCCTACGAAGAAATTTGAAGCTTACTGCCCGATATTTTGGACCCTACAAAATTCAAAACAGAATTGGTCAGGTTGCTTATAAATTAGATTTGCCTGCAAATTTGAAAATACATCCAATCTTCCACGTGAGTTTACTTAAGAAGAAAGTAGGGAAAAAGGGACTTATCTCAATCGATCCTCCAGAGGTAGCGTCGAATGGACAACTGAAGATTTACCCAGCCGTTGTTTTGGATCAACGAGTGATTACAAGACAAAATCGAGCAGTCATTCAATTGTTCATTCAGTGGACGAATATGAGACCAACAGAATTAACTTGGGAGGATTATACAGTCTTGAGATAACAATTTCCTCAATTCGATCCTTGGGGACAAGAATCTTCTAGAGGAGGGGGTATTGTTATGATGGCAGGGAAGTTAGGGTTTAATCGTAGTGATTTGGGGGAAATTTCGAAGAGAAAATTGAGAGGCAACAACAGAATTTGGGGGGAGAATCGAATGAAATTAGGGATTAAAAAAGGGGCTAGGGATTGACATTCTATCTGAAGAATTGGGAATCGAAGTGAAGAGTAAGGGATACAGCTGAGGGTATATGAGGGGTGTGTTAGTGGGTTTATTATGAAACCCAATTTAAATTACTGGTGGGCTTATATGTTGGGCTTGAGTCTGTTAGAACAATATTAAGAGAGAAGTTTGAATGGTGAGTCAACATTAGGTAGTTATTTTGTTAGATATGTTGTTTTGACAGCTGATACTTGTATATATATAATTTGTACCAATCCTTTAAGGATTATCTTATGAATGAAAGCACATTTCATGTACCTAAGTCTCTCTATTTCTCAAATCCCTAAATTTCTTCTACATTCTCATCCTAAATCATAACAAATTATCTCTTCTATATTTAAGAATAATTATAGTAATACATTTTTTTATTTTTTTCAGTTAGATTTTTATTTCATCAAATTAAAAATAGAATTATATACATACATGATCAAGAACAGATTTTTATCATAAAAATTGAATTGAATTTTAAGTTAGATGAAGTCTTTTTAACTTCAGGATATGAAATTTAGATTAGATTCAAATAAGGTAAAAACATAATTCAACATATGTCCATTCTTATTTAAAAATCCTAAAAATCCTAAGCCTAGGGTTCATGAAAGACCAACCCAATATTTATTACACAATCCACCCCATTAAACACAGCTTCAATTGATTTTTACAATAGATGAATAAAAAATGCGACTTCATTTATCTGGTGAGATATTAGGTGTATAATATAATCCATCAAAATGTGAACAAGTTTAAACTTGTTCTATAAAACATGTAATAATTAAAACCCCCAAAACTTTCTATGAATTTCCCAGGCTTTGTTGTTATACTTTTCCTTTTGTATTTCTATCTGGGCTTCCCATTTTCCGGTCAGCCAAGCAGAAACTCTCCTAATTTATTATATGTATATTATTAAGAGAAAATAACCTTAGTGACCGAAAATACCTTATAATATACGATTTTAACAAACTTTTTTTTTGGATTTGCAAAAATGACCAACAAATTCGCAACGCGAACTCCAATTTCGCAACCCAGTTTCCAAAATCGAAACGCGAATATGTAAATCGCAACACAGAAGTCAAATTCGCAAATCTATAGTCAAATTCGCAATGCGAAAGTTAAATTCGCAACGCGAATCTGTAAATCGCAACACATAAGTCAAATTCGCAACACAGAAGTCAAATTCGCACCACAATAATCAAATTCGCAACATTGAATTTCAAATTCGCAACATTGAATTTCAAATTCGCAACACAAAAGTCAAATTCGCAATGCGATAGTCAAATTCACAAAGCGCGTTTATTTTCGTAACGCGAATTTTATTTTATTTTCGAATTCGAAACACAATATTAATTTCGCAACACAAATGTAAACAGTATTATCGCAAATCATAACCTAAAACCCTAAATCACAACTCAATCTCATCTCCATCTCTCACTATCTACGGCGACATCCGTCCCCATCTCCGACGAAATCCGTCCCCATCTCCGACGAAATCCATCTATCTCCATCTCTCAGAGCAACCCTCACAACCATTCACAGTCAGAAATAGAAAATCAACCACCGATGGTTAGTTTTTTAATCTCTTATTTTTATTTTGAAATTTTTGTATTATTATTAGATTTTTCTTATATTGATGATAAATTTACTGGTAATTTCAATATATATATAGATTAACCATTTCACTGAGATTGCTTAGTAAATTCATTCGGTTGCTGTCAATACTGCTAAACTGTTTAGTCTTTAACCCTGTGAAGTTAGTATTTGTCTTTGTTTTGTCTTTTCGTTGAAGAAATGCAATTCATTCAAGTTTCAATTTGCAGAAGAATAGTTTTTGAAACTTAAATTCGCAACATAAAAATGAAAATCGCAACGCGATTTTAGTTTCGCGTTGTGATTTTCATTTTCGCATTGCGATTTTCTCGTTGCGATTTTCATTTTCGTGTTGCAAGTTTAAGTTTCAGAAACTACTCTTATTCTGCAAATTGAAACTTGAATGAATTGCATTACTTCAACCAAAAAACAAAGACAAATACTAACTTTACAGTGTTGCTAATTTAAGTTTCAAGAATAAACTACTACTCTTTATGTTGTCCTTGAACCTGCACTAAACCTATATGTTGTCCTTTTATGTTTATATAAGTGCTTACTTCTGGAATGTTATCTGATGCATTTTGTGAACTATAATGGAATAATGACTTGGGTGAAACCGTGCTAGTTTGAAACATATTTGGCTTTGTTTTCACTGTTTAATATCATGTTGTTTATAGTGTATAATTTGTAGTTTTTGGTATATCTAACTTGGTATGTTTATTGTTTTTGTAGAAATTTTTTTCGGCTCAATTGACCTTAAGGAATAAATTAAGCCTAGTCACTAAAATTGCGTCAACACTTACACCTCTACAAAGAAAATTGTTTGAGGATACTTGCTTCGGGCCATGGCTGAAGGTACAACAACCGAGTGGAGATGTTATGTTGACACATTTTTTTATTCAGACCATGACTAACGATCTATCCGAGAGGATACAACGTGGTGATGAAGAGATATGGTTTCATTTTCCTCCGACGTATACTTGTTTTGGGCGGGAGGAGTTTTGCTTAATCACTGGTCTACGCTTCATACACGATGAAGTAACCCGATACACTAGTCATATCTCCCGCCCATTGTGGTTATCTCGGGTTTTTCCTGAGCTGGCAAAGTCGAAGCCGAGTTTACACGTCGATGACTTGAAGAGATTATTTGTTAAAGATGGTTTTACTCGGATGGATGGCCTTGATGTTGTCCGAGTATGCCATTTATTACTTTTGCATGCCGGGTTTTTAGGAAAAGAGGGCATACAACCTATTTCTAAGGACCTAATATTATTGGTAGAGGACCTAAATGCATGGAACCTGTTTTCGTGGGGTTCATATCTATGGAAAGCTACCTGGAAGAAGTTGTCGTCTGCCTTTGAGGACCAAAAAAGTTTGCGAGGCGATGGTTCTAAATACACTTTGGCAGGCTTTATTTGGGCCTTTAAGGTTAGAATTTCTATATAATGTTTCCAAATTTATAATTAATTATTTAACAATTACTGATGTTTGTGTATTATATTGTTTGTAGATTTGGATATTTGAGGCTTTTCCCAGCATGCAGACATATGCGATAAAAAATTCAAATGATATTCCTAGGGCTATTACCTGGAAGAGGATCCGCATGTTAGATTGGGAAGAGTTACTACCATATACGACGATGAATGATGTAAGTTAACACAAAAATACTACCATATAGTTAAACAAGTTATTACTAGTACACGTTTAACTTTGTTTGAGCTTTTATATTGTTAAGAGGCCAACTATCCATTACAGAGGCTAAGCTTGCCACTGATTGGTGGCAAGCTAGTAAGCGGTTTTTTGATGGGACGGATGATGAGCACCCCCCCACTTCGAGAGCTATCACCTGATCGGGCCGATTCTACAGCTCGACACCCGAAGCCATCACCTGATCGAGTCTCTTCTCCACCTCCAGCATCACCTATTCCATCACATCATCGAGCCTCTTCTCCACCATCACCTCATGATAGGCGACCGAAAAGAGGCCACGACATTTATCTCCCTGTTCTCCACCTCCACGGGATGAGTTAGGGGAGTTACGTGATGAGGTCGGTGCTTTGCGTCATGAGGTCGGTACTTTACGTGAAGACAATGGTGCATGGTGTGATGAGGTACGGTCTTTACATGATGAGGTGGATATTTTACGTGATGATAATGGTGCGCTACGTGATGAGGTATCTACTTTACGTGATGAGATAGCCGCTCTACGTGAGATTATTTCATCGTTGCAAAATGAGGTTCATACTCTACGCAATGAGGTAAATTTGTTTAATACTATACTAAAAATGCAAATAACATTTTTTTGGCATTATTTATTTATTTACTGATTTATGTATTAATTTATTTTCAGCGGCCCGATAAGGTAGATGCTTTACGTCGGGTTTTTCTTGCACGATGGGGTTCATGCATCAGACGTCGTGCACGTGCCATTACGTCTCATTTCACCCCACTAGTTCCAAGACTCCGTAAAAAGAAGCACGATTCACCTGTTATCGTTCAAGAGGTGCCTCCTATCGTTCAAGAGGCTCCTCTCATCATTCAAGAGGCCCCTCCTACCATTCAAGAGGCCCCTGTCATCGTTCAATGGGTCCCTCCCACCGTTCAAGAGCCTGATTCACAACATGTCATTTGTCGACATATTGATAAACCCCCTCCTGTGCCCGATATGATGGATGCGTGTTGGCTTTTGTATGAGTTACCGACCAGTATCATTCCTCAGTAGGAGAGGGAAACACTACTGGACATAATTACGGATAATACCCTTTGGGCTAAGATCGCATTTGATTTTTATCTATATGAGCGGAGCCAGGGGTGTTATTCTGACATATGCAAACTCGACAATGTTATGCATTTGTTTCTTGATCGGTCTTGGTGGGGTATTTTATTAGGGGTTGAAGATAATGGCTATTTCGAAGGGGGGTAAGTCTTATATTCTTCTTATATAGCATTTTGATTAATTTTTTTAAATTTATTAATAAATTCACTAATATGTGTATTTTTTTATAAAACAACATATTGATGCATGGGTGTTACATCTTCTAGTAATAAGGAAATTGAAGAAAATAAAAAATACTCGATGGACTATTATGCTGACGTCTTTTCACGTAGCTCACTTGAAGGATCCGAGAGATTCTTCATATACGTTGGGTAATGGAAAAGCTAAACTTTATCATGCGTGGTGGGAGGTCGATAAGGTTAGT